AACTACAAAGTAGAAACTTATCAGATGTGGATACCAACTCTAATGAACATGACATGCACCTTTAGATTAAGTGGCCTAATCTGTCAAGCAAGTCTGATGTTCAACTCTTGTTATACCTCTAAATCGTGAAACTGGACTTCAATGCTCTGATTATCCAATCTGATTCACGATCCTTATTCGATTTGTTGTGCCCGAAGGGTTTCCACCATCAAACCTCTCTCATTTTGTTCTTTCTCTCAACTCACCATCGCCTTATGGTACCTGTGAAGGTTTACACCAATAAGACTCTCTCATTTTGTTCTTTTCTTCTTATTTCCTCTGATTCTGCAGATGACAAGGCATTAACCATGGTAAAAACATCATATACTCTTGGCATGTCTAAACTCAGCACTCTCAAAGATTATCTGGGAGGTCTTTTTTGGACTGTAATATGGCTTTTGGACGGGTTAGAAAGAAAGGATATCATAAAATCTCAAAATAACTAAGTCAACGGGTTAATTTATTTACAACTTTTAGAATCTATTCTAAAATATTTGCCCTAATTTCTAAAACAAAGGAATTTGATTCTCTTTTTTTCTTTTCTTTTCTTATAGAATTTCTCACTCTCGACTTCATGGGATTATGAAATATTTTATTTGGTATGATCGAACCGTAAGGCTGCCTACGTATCTTGTGGTGACAAGAATCAGGTCAAACGTATTTCACAAGACTACTTTTTGTTACTATTTTCCTTTTTCTTTTCTTTCTTTCTTTTTCCCTTTTTTTCTTTTTTTTCTTTTTCTTTTTTTTCATTCTTTTTTGGAATGAACTTTCTAAAATAAACCTATGGGGACATGAACTTTTTTTTTTCTGTGTGACTAACTTGATTCCAAAAGAGGGGAGGTCAAAGAAATCGGATCAGGCTCAAAAGGGTATCAAGTGGTATAAGTATTTGGGTAGCTGAAAGAGGGCCTCCCAATCCCTGAAAATGCCAAGTACAACACATGCAACTTGAAATGAAAAAAAAAAAGCACACACAACATTTCTTTTACAGCTTCGGCATTGCTATCACTGATATGCTTTCCACCTTTTTAGTGTCTTGTCAAGTACAGAACTCTTATTGGGTGATTTCTTTTTCATGATGGGTACCCTCCATCTATTTGGAGCAAACTCCCTTGACTTTATCTTGCAAATTAAGGTGTACTTGAACTCAAAACTACTCACTTCAAATTGTCCGGGATGCACTCTCCTTAAACGAATTCTTGTCACCCTATTAACTTCCCAAATTATCTGCGCAGTTTCACACAATTCGGGCTTTAAGCGATCTCAAAATCCCTTTACTTACTTCCCTCAAATGTCCCTATCATCTTCAAAATTGTTTCATTGTTTCACGATTAAACTAACTTTTCATACCAGACTGAGAATTACGCGTGCATGTCATGTCACTAGAACCAGCATGAAAAGAACTATAAAAGGAGAAGAGAACTAAACAAAAAATGACTAGAAATAACAGAAAATAGAAAATTGCATTAGACAGACGGTGAAGGGTTTTGAACAACAAGACAAGCAAAATAAACTGGGGTACAACCCTGGAACAAAAACCAGACAACATTAAACGAGCTACTACGACTAAATAAACTGGGCAAAATAAAAGGATAGAAGGGTTTGAGTCACAAGACAATATCCAGATCACAACCCTGAAAATAACCCGGACAACAGAAATGACAACAAAATAAACCACCACTACTCCTCCCACGGCTAACCAAGAATGGAGCGTCTTTCCAATTACCAAGCACGGCATCTTAGCCATGGAGTTTCGCATCAACATTACTAGGACCTTCACAAGTCTCCATCACATTGACTTTAGCAAATTGCGTTTGGGTCCTTTTTGCCGGCTCGTTCTTAAGATCAACCTCTGATAGAGCTGAAAGCTTTATAGCACGTGGACCTCCGAGGATCTCAGAAGAATTCTCATATTCCTTTTCAAAACAAATCATACCCACCATATGCGTCTCATTATGAACAGGCGATGGACTTTGGCTAGTGTCTACTGCATCTGGATTTTGCACGACACTATCACCTGCATCAATAAGCTTCTGAATTGCTTTTTTCAAATGCCAACACTTTTCTGTGTTGTGACCCGGGGCATCAGAGCAATAGGTGCACCTTTGAGAATAATCAAAATTCTTTGAAAGAGGGTTCGGCATTTTTATCTGAATCGGCTTCAATATGTCTAATTGCCTCAACCTTTGGAACAAACTGGCATATGATTCTCCAAGGGGAGTGAAAGTCTCTTCCTTTTGCTTTTGCCTTTTCATCTTGTACTCTGGCCTCGATTGGAACCTTTTTCGGGTAGGTGGTTGATATGCTTGAGGGGGCAAGTAAGACATTTGTGGAAGTGGTGCAGGCTATCGCGGACCTCATGGGTGTGGAGCATATGGTGGTGCATTATGGACAGAGTACTGGGAAGGTGATGTACGACTTTTGGGGTTTTGTGGAGAGAAGTAGCATTGGGGAGGATTATCTGGAGCATAGGGATATCCATGGGGTCGATGTCGAGGTTGAAAGTGTTGAGCAGGAATGCCCACTGGATCCTGTCGTTGGCGCGCCTCAACAACATCTTTTCTATTTCTCTTTCTTCCATCCAAAACTTACCGAGATATTTTGAGCGTCTTTTGTAGTGTCTTTCAATGCAGAATAACTCATGATTTTGCCTGACTTTATTCCCTCTTCTACCATCTCCCCCATTTTTACCACATCATTGAAAGGTTTACCCAAGGCCGGGATCAAATGACTGAAGTAGGTGGGCCCCTAGGCTTGTAAGAAAAGCTCGACCATTTCTTCTTAACCAATCGGGGGACTGACTCGAGTAGCTTGTTCCCTCCATCTGAGCCCAAACTCCCTAAAGCTTTTGTCCGATTTCTTTTCCATATTAGATAGGGAGGAACGGTCTGGGGTAACGTCTATATTGTATTGAAAGTGTCGAACAAAACCTTGAGCCATGTCATCCCATGCCTGCCACTTATTGGTATCTTGATGAGTATACCATTGCAAGGCTGCCCCAGTCAAGCTCTCACTGAAATATGCCATCAACAAATCATCTTCCCTGCCAACACTTCTTATTTCACTGCAATAACCCCTCAGATGGGCTAGTGGATCTCCACGCCCATAATACAAGTTAAACTTTGGCATTTTAAACCCCGCGGACAGACGAACATCAGGGAATATGTTAATCTGATTTCCCATCCTTGCATGCTCCTTAAGGACTATTCTATACCTTTCAGCTTCCTGGATATCTCATCTCGCCCTTCTTTTCCTGTGAATTTTTATTTTCAACATGAGGCTCATTCTGAAGGCTCTGATTGTATGAGTCAGGAACCTTGTGGGCAACCTCTGAGGGGTAATATTAGGCATCATGAGCTTTGAGTGGATGTTCATTGTCTGATCTATGAAGGGAAGATTGTTGAGAAGTTGTGCTCATGGGGATAGTGGATATGACAAGAGTGCAATTTTGGGGAGAGGTAATTGGAGGATGAGTGATGGAACTACTAGAGTGGTTAGGAAAGTTGTGATAAGCGGGTGGATCTGGAGAGTATGGGGAATCATCTGGTACTATGGCCGAAGTTTGGGTAAGGGTAGCATCTAAGAAGCTAGGTGGTGGCGTGGGTGGTGCCTTCCCAGTCATCCAAGCCTGATACATGTCCGCAATGTGTTGTCTTAACATCCTTACCTCTTCAACCAACCCATTGCCCGGTTCAACCAATTGCTTTTGGGCACCAGTACCAGCCAACTCAATTCCGTTGTCGTTTGCCATTGCCTTTCGACTTTATGTTGTAGAGAAGAGTTACCACTTTAAGAACTACAAACCAACCACCCTTCTGATATACTAAAGATAACAAAAGGAACAAAATGAAGTCATCACGTTAGCGTTAGGGCATTTAACATAAGATAATCTCACATTATGTGCAATGCACTTAGTCGCAGTTATCGGCTCTAACATGACTTCGAGGGTATGAAGGTCATATGGCATCATCCCAATTTATTCATTTCAATCTTCTCTTTCTTTTCTTTCTAGTACTTCTTCGCTTGCTCATTTCCCTTCCTCTTTTCCTAATTATCACTTTTTCCTTTCCTCTCTTTCTCACATCCCATAATTTCATCTCTTTTTTTTCTTTTTTTTTCTCCTTTTTCTTTTAATAAAATAAAAATGATTCGATCAAACCCTATGTAGGTTGCCTACGTATCATGACGCCACATAAATCAGATCTTTGCGTAGTTTGGGAAAATCGGAAAGAAAGGAAACAAACTAACGTTTTCCTTTTTTTACCTTAATGACTAATCCGATGAGAAAAGAGAAATAAAAGAAGCAAAATCTTTTTTTGAATTTTCTAGACTTAATGTTCTATAACCTATTCTAAACTCAAGCTTAACGGATTTTTTTTCTTTTTCTTTTCTTTTTGGAAACAAATACTCTATTAAGGAAAAATCCTAGAAGAGAAAGATATTTTTTGACTCTTTTTTTAGGAAAGAAATCTAGACAATAAACCAAAGAAAAGTATTTTGAATTTTCATTTGATATCCCTGAAGAAAAACTTCGTAACGAGAAATGAAAAAGATAAAAACTGTTTTTGGATTTCAATTTTTAATTACCTAAAGGAAAAAATTTAAAGATAAATAGAAGATAAGGTATCTTATTTATTCTATGTACAATGTCCTAAATCTAGTAAAAATAAAAGAAATTTTTTTCTATTCATTTTTCATTAATTTCACAAAGAAGGACCTCAAAAGAAAATCTTTTTTGGATTTTTGGAATTAATATCTTAGAGAAAACCTTTAAAGAGGTACTAAAAAACAAAAATTCTCTTCTTTTTTTTTTGAATTCTTAGTCCTAATATACTAAAGAAAATATAAAAACAAATTTTTATTTTAAGTTTTAGATATTAATTGCCTAAAAGAAAAATCACCTCAAACGAAATTTTTTTCAATTTCTAGGAGTAGTATTCCTGAAGAAAATTCTAATGGAAATACAAAAACGCAAAATATCCTTTTTTTTGGATTTTATAATACATTTTTCAAATACAAAATAGGAAATAATAACAAAAGACTGACAAACTTAACTAGACTATGACAGACTCAAAAATCAACTAAATGACTGAATACTACTATACAGGACTAGAAAGTATAACATGAACAATAGACTCTAAAACAAAAAAAAGCTCCTCAGGCAGCTCCTGAATGTAGTAGTTTTGGGGGTATCTGTCATGCTCAAATTTCGGTAAGTAGATCCACACCTGTATGAGAAAACTGAAACCAACACTATGTGAGACAATAGCATTCCCTACTAGGCACATGCAATACATGATTGTGACTATTTTTCTAAAATTAACCTATGTGGCTAAAAGTGGCTAAAAGTGCAAAATTTGGCTAAGACCCTGCAAAGCCAAGAACCTAAGATTTACTAGGAAGACCGGACCCTATGTGGGTTGCCTACGTATCACGCCCCGAGGGAGGAGAATCAGGTTCGCGTAGTTCGGACAGATTGGATACAGCCAAGAAATAAAAAAAACAACTAAATTAGAGAAAATATATTTTGTTTGTCTTTTCCTTGAAAATGATGAAACATGTAAACTCTTTTGGATTTTCTTATCCTTTTTTTTATTATTTTTTTCGGAAAATATGGGAAAGTGCAAAATCTTTTTTTTTAGGATTTTTCATTTTTTTTCTTAACAAAAATGTAAAAGAAAACATAACTGGGCCCTACTTGCTTTAGTTTCACACTTCACCCTCTCTTTTCTTTTTTTTCTTTTTATTTGCCCTCAACTATCATTGGTCTGCCAAATGACCATTTTACCTTTGAAGAAATGCAATATGTGGCACATAGGATGCATCAAGATGGTCTATTATTTTGGGTACACATGTCCTAGGCGGACCCAACCCCTGTGTTGAGTCCCCAAAGTCAAATGCACATGATGCAAACAAGCGTTCCTACTAGGGATCCGGCATGAGGCTAAGTTATTCTAGGTTTAAAACCTGAGTGTATTGTTCTAGACCTTGCTTACCCGAGCGGACAACTCGAGCCGGGGGGGAAGCGTACCGGTAACCAAAAGATCATACGGCTTTGCAACTTGTCCGAACCTCGTTCTAAATTGGGATATGACACTAACAGAAAGAAGTCACGCCAGCGTGCACTCCTCAGAAGATAGAAAAGAGGGGTTTCGTAGCAGTTTATATATACAGTTCAGATAATATCAAAGCGGTAAAAAGCAACATTTAGCACATTAGGCCCAAACATGTAGATAAAATCAGACAATAAATAAAGTCAAATATAACAATTATTCTAAGCTCGAATTCTTGAACCCTGAACTAGAGATTTTGAGTTTGATCCCCAGCAGAGTCGCCAAAGCTGTCACACCTCCGTTTTCCTACCCTCGGAAGGGTATAAAGGGAGTTTTTTTCTAATTTAAGTGACAATCGAAACGGGATTATTCATTTAAAATTCAGAGTCGCCACTTGAGATAATTTATGGTGTCCCAAGTTACCAGTTTTAAATCCTGAATCGAGGAAAGATTGACTCTGTTTTATAGTCCGCGAACACAGAAATCGGGGTAAGAAATTCTGTTAACCCGGGAGAAGGTGTTAGGCATTCCCGGGTTCCATGGTTCTAGCATGGTCACTCAACTATTATTATTGGCCTATTTATCTGATTAATTACAAATTTTAAACCTATTGCATTTTTCACCTTTGACCGCTTTTAATTATTTAAGGAATTATTTCAAGGTTAACACATCGTAAACCACGCTACATGAAATGCACTCGTGATTCACGACACGTTCTATTTAACCTTGTTGGAAATTGAAGTCGGATCACATAAAATACACACCCGGATTTATAAATTGTGTTTCACAACTACGTCACGGGAACCGTACCCGTAGCTATGAAACTTTATTTAATTAACGTGCCTAAAGCAAACTACGAGAATTTGTCATTTTATATCTAAATTATGAATTAATACGAGGGCCATGTATAACTAAATGGTGGATGGCACACCTCAGACTATATGAACTAAATTTAATTAGCGGCCTATGAAAACCCATTTTATTATTAAGAAAAAGTTTGATCGAAGTTGCGCGAACACATACTCCGAATTGGTTTTTTTAGAATCGTAATTATGTCACGCGAACGTGCACACAATTACGATAGTGGATCAAAAGCGGGTCCAAAAGCATACTAACAGATTCATAAATTAATTTATCCTATGGTTTAGGACTAACTTTGCATCCACGCTATTCAATTGAGTTAAGAAAACTCCCAACTTTCACAAAATATACAATTATTGCACCTTCTAACAGAGAAGTTCTACAGCTAAATCAGAACAAACAATCGAAGAAAAACACTACTCTTCACATAAGTTACTGAAGAAACAAAACGCATAGTCAACAACACATGATCAGAACAAAACCAAAATGAAAGCAAAGCAAACGAATCTTACATTGAATCTTCACGCAGACAAAACGAAATTAATCACCGGACCAAAATGGAAACCTCGACGGAACGACGATCCAAACCTCGACACTCGCCGGAACCAATGACGCTACTACCATAACGATGGCGATATTGGAACCACAGCCAAACGACACACGCGGAGGAATGCCAAAGAACTGATTCTGGCCAAACTCAGCACAAAAACGTCACAAAATCCAGAACTTGTTAGATCTACACTCATCCGACATAGAAGTAAAGCACACGAGAACAATGGTGATGAAACAGTGGACTGTTTTCTACTCGTTCATCGTCGACGATGCGACTCCGACGATACAAAGACAGTAGAGGGTGGAGGAAGGGAAAGAAACAGCGGCGATAGTGAGCTGGGGTGAGGTTGTTTTAGGTTGAAGAAGGAGAAGATGAAGGGTGTGGTTTGGTTCACCGGCAATGGGGTCAGAGGTGGTCGTTGTTGATTTTCCGGCGATGTGGGTGGCGACGAGCGATGGCTGCTTTGTGTAGGTGTGGAAGGTCATTCTTCAGTTCTTGTTTTGGAGTTTTTGTTTGTTGTTTTCCATTTGTGTTGTGTAAAGGGTTTTGGTTCAGTGTGTCAAAGAAGAAGCAACGGTTGCTTCCTCATTTTCTTTTTAGGTCTCTTCAAGTTTTTGTGTAGAAGAAGAGAAAACGGCCGATTTGATCTTGGGTCTAGGCTTCGTTTTTTCTGTATTGTTCAGCTGAAGAAGATGAAGTCAGGGGTGGGGGTTGTTTTGTGTATTGCGGCGCTGATCGTCCCCTCCTAGATTTTTAGGCGTTAGTCTATATATCCTCCATCTAGGTCCTTAGCTACTAGGTTATATTTTATATTTTTTGTTGATTAGTCCTAGGTCTTTTTGTGTATTAGGTCCCTAGGTTTTTAAGAAAGGTTTTAAGGGTATTGGGCTCAGGGAATGGGCTAAAAACTTAGGCTTTTATTACTAGTTTTGCATAAAATTGGATCAATTAACTAAATATCTACCCCTATAAAAATATTACCAAAATATTAATTAGCCCTACTTAAGTGAAAATAATTATTAAAATAAAAACCATTAAAACAACCTATTTTTGTAATTTTCATTTTATAACTAAATAAAGTAAAAAAGTATATTAGACCTAAACTAAATATTTTAGGCTAAAATGGGTGAAATCTTAAGGAGGGTCAAAAATCGCATGCCTACACCCAGATAATTATTTCACTTTAGATTGAAATTCAGGCACACATTAATATCTTCTAAATAAAGCTACATGTATAAGCTCTACACAGAATGACCATATCACAGTTTTGAAAAATTTGAAGAAAAAATAATCAAGGAATCAACGTTCTCTTTTGTTCCTCCAATAAATGAGGCAGGAGTGACATTCTTAAACACAACATAAAGGAGCAAAATTATGGTTCCCAAGGTAAGGTTAAACAACACAGTATTGGCCTAGGAAAGAAAGCTAATTAGTTCTAGGAGCAGCCCATTCAACTCTAAGGATGAGATTGTCATAACCATAACCATTCAGCTTGTTTATGGCCCTCTCAGCATCTTCTCTATTGACGAAGTTGACAAAACCAAATCCTCTGCTCATTCCAGTCTTTTGATCAATGGCAACATACACTCGGCTGACATGACCAAAGGAACGGAACAGCTCCAACAAGTCAGCCTCCCGAGTGTCCTCAGAAAGGTTAGTAACCCTAACAGAGTTCTCTTCATTTCTTCTTCTCATCTCAGTGCCACCACCACTTCCCCTCTCTGCACCACCACCTCTCATGCTCGGAGGTACATAAGCACCCTTTTGAGGACCAGCTCCAGCGGCAGGCGCTTCTGCTGACGGTGGCTTATCCATGAAGGTGTCACTTGGCTGAGCAAGATCCTTGAATGGGCATTTTGATGTCCAATGATCACCCTTCTTCCCACAGGTCCTACACACCATAAGAACAGCCCCTGCTTTTCCAATTTGAGCCAAAGAGTCTCCAGCGGCTTTAGATTCGTCTTGCTTGGAACCTGTTCAGAATTAGATAATCACAATGACAGAGTTAGGTAAACTTAAAACTTCAGCACAGGGCAAGGGATGTGTCTCCTTCAATACTCGCACATATATACAGCATATAACACCACAGCCCAAAAAAACAGCAAACTCAAAGGGAAAAGATTCACACATAAATTAAAAACACATATGAGGGTACAACTCACCAAACAGTTATCCATGACTACAATGGTCACACATGCATCAATGCGAGTCAATAATGTGTACAACTCTCGGAAAGACGGATGAGAGAACAATTCACCAAACAGTTTCTACGACTATACTGGTCACACATGCATCAATGCAAATCAATATGCGTACAACTTTAATGTCTTCAACTCTCAGGCTACCATTACAGGAGAAATAGGTTCATTAATACAATCTCTTTCCTTAACAAAGTTGGAATGTTCATTAAAATAGCTACACAGGCAGGCGGCAGCATTCCACAGGTGTATAATATACTAATTTCTCAAATAGGAGACCGCAGATATAGCTGCAAAGCCAATCTTTTTCCTCAACAAAGGTGCAGTACCATTACCATAGCTGACACAAATCTTGGCGAATGCATACAGTTAATTGCAACTCCTTGACTCACTACTTCGGTTGGGTAGCAAATAATAAATGATCTTGAATCTATACATGTGACATGCGACTGCATAACTACATATATTAAGCAGCACGAGAACCTGACTAAATATGTTTTTAGCAAATAACACATATACTTGAATGGGATACCTGATATATGAAGAAAAAAAACAATCCTTTTCCCTATTCAACTAAGATATCAGATATTTCGCATACTAAGACTAAAGCCTGCATCATAAAAGATTGCATTCAACTAAAGAGAACAAATTCATCCAAAAGATGGTTCTTATTTCAAACCAACTAACAGCCTTTTAACACAAAGTCCCCCCCCCCCCAA